TTAATCGGATTTTTCATGGAAGGAACTCTCTCATTTTTTTAAAAATAGGACTCGGAGAACAAAAAATGGAGTCACGGGACTTAAAATAATTTTCCCAAATTTTTTTCTACTTTGAAAATAATTTTTAACATTGAGATCAGTACGAAAAACGGGCTCCCAGAACTCAAAATAGTTAAAAAGTCGAATTGGGTCGTCTTTCCGATGACATGGCCCAATAATTTCCAAGGACTATAGCTTTGCGCATTATTGGGTCGCCAGTACAAATACTTGGCCGTATATAGGCCTGTTACAAGGCTGAGGTTCTCGCGGGCTTCACGCGGGCTCGCGGGCGAGGAAGCAACCCACAGCTGGAGAGGGAAAATCGGGCTGAGTGCGGGCCAATTGCGGGTTGGACGGCCCGCGCGCCCTCCTGCTGGGAAGAAAAAATGGGCTGCGGTTTTGGGCTTCTAAAATCAATCTTAGACTGCGAATTTGAGCCGTAAATAAAAATTGGACGAACTGTATAACGACAACTCAAAAAATGATATCGAGACTCCGAAACAAACCGAAATAATCACAACAACATTACGATACTCGTTTTTACAAAATCGAGAGTTCCAATCATCCCTGAAAGGTCCACGAACATACGAAATAAACAACGAACATACGAACCGACAATCAACTAGAAATCGATTCAAAGAGTATGAATATAATTTAACGAGCAACCACGAGTACGAATATATCGATAAGGTTCGTCGATTACCTATCTTCGGGAAGCTCGGTTGTAAAACGAACGGACGAACGGGGTCGAATGGACGACGAGACCCAGACTTCTCGAAAGCTTCGAACACATGGACTGTGGGTTCTGGTTCTCGACGGCACAACGGCTCTGCTGTGTGGACGTCGACGACGAACGGAGATATCAGCGTACGAACAGGTTGCCGGAGGGGAAGGTTTCGCCGGAATTAATGGAGAGCAAGGTTGCCGAAAAAAAAAATATATGGCTGACGGGCTGCGGTTCTTCACCTCGACTGACGGCTCAACCCCGGCTATGGGCACTCTGCTGGACTGGACGGCGACGGCTGCTCGGAGGTGAGTTCGACGGGGAAGAATGGTCCAGCGGCGGAAATTTTCAGGTACGAATTTCCTTTTTTTTTTTTGTTTTACGAGTGCTTCTAATGATTTGAAGATAAGGGAAAACCAGCTTCTCTTATCTGGTATTTGAAAGTGAGGGAGAGGAGAACGTGAGCTTAAAATCGCAACGAGATTTTTTATCCGATGGGAGAGAAGGACCCGATCGCTAGGAGAAGGAAAAAAAAAATATGTTTTGCACGTGATGCAAATTGGCCTCAAAATTGGACCATATTTAAGGAGAATGGGCCAATTACAAATAATTAATGTGGCCAAATATGACTTTACAATTGGGCTAGAAATAAATTAAAAAGAGGTGGAATTTAGTTCTATTTGAGTCGGAAACAATTTAATCGGGCCGAAAAGAATACAACACGATAAGAAGAATTTTCGCTCGATACGATTTAATAAAAATGCGGCTCGCAATAAATAAATTAACCGGATTATATATATACATATATTACACACAATAATTATATATAATAATAATAATAATTATTAATAACAATTAGACAATTAATATAAATATTTATATGATGTTTATGAAGGAACGAGGACCCAAAATCCACAAGCTAGCCGATAAACGAACACGAAACACCGCCTACAGATTAAACTCAACCTTAATGAGAATCGAAGCACTCAGGCGAGGGAATCTTCACTCTCAATGAGAATCGAAGCACCTGCGTTCAAAAGCGACAATTTTCGATTTAGCAACTTTTTTTTTTTTTTTTTTGAGGTAATTTTGAATAGCATACTCCATTTCTAGCTGAAAAAAATTCGAATTTCTGCCTTTTTCTTTTCACTATCATGTCGTTTTCTGCCACTCTTTACTTCATTTTTATGTTTTTCTGTTCTCAAGCTGAGCTTAATCCCAACTGTTCTATTTGTTTCCCCATTTTTTGGATGCTGTTTATGGATTATGTCGGACTATTCACAAATTTCCTCGTTCTGCTGATATAAGTTTCATTCATATTTGCAAGAATGTATCTGAAACTGAAAGAGGGGTGTTCCCTAATGCTGAAAACCCATAAACCTTCAATCCCCTTCGTCCTCAGCACAAATACAAACACGAACCCACCTCGAAATTCTCAACTGCAGAAAGAACCCAATCACGAAAACACGATTTTGATTCAAGAATCTGAAGTCTTGAAGAGATTGACAAACGAAAATGATATTGCACTAGCGTTGGATTATTTCAAATCGGTATCGAACTCGGGCTCTTTCAAACACACCCCTCAAACCTACGGAGCGATGATAAAAAAACTCGGGCAAAAGGGCGAAATGGATTGTGTGCATTACCTTCTGCAGCAAATGAAGCTTGAAAGCATAAATTGTTCGGAAGATCTATTTATTACGGTTATCAAGTCCTACGGCCGGGTTAAGGCGGCAGAGCAGGCCTTGAAAACGTTCTACAGGGTTCGCGAATTCGGCTGCGTGCCTACAGTTAGAATTTACAACCATCTACTGGATGCCTTGCTTGGTGAGAACAGGTTTCAAATGATAAGCCCGATATATGGGAATATGAAGAGGGATGGGATGGAGCCAAATGTGTTCACTTATAATATTCTTCTGAAGGCTCTGTGCAAGAATAATAGTCTCTCCGGGGCCCGCAAGCTGCTTGAGGAGATGTCAAACAAGGGGTGTGAGCCCGACAACGTGAGCTACACGACTGTTGTTTCGTTTTTCTGTGAATACGGTAAAGTGGAGGAGGCTAGGGATTTGGTATCGAAATTCATCCCTAGTGTGCCCGTTTATAATGCGTTGATCGGTGGATATTGTCGCCAAGGGAGAATTAGGAAAGCATTTGAGGTGTTCTGTGAAATGATTGAAAAGAGAGTCTCACCCAATGTGAGGACATACACAATGATTTTGAATTGCCTGTGTGACTTGGGTGAAATCGAGATTTCTTTTGCTGTCTTGTCCAAGATGATAGTGCAAGGATGTAACCCAAACACACACACCTTTACTTCATTGGTAAAGGGGCTGTCTTTGAAAGGCAGATTGCTCGAAGCTCGTGAGGTGTTTGATAAAATGTCGGTTTACGGGATTTTTCCAAATGAAGTCACGTACAACACATTAATTCACGGGCTTTGCTGGGCCGGAAAAATGAATGACGCATTGCGCATTCTCGAGAAAATGGAGGCAAGCGCGTGTCCTCCGAATATAACAACGTTTAGTACACTCATCGATGGTTTTGTGAAAATCGAGGATTTAACAGGCGCGTGTGATGTATGGAACAAGATGATGTCCTTGGGTTGTCGACCGAATGTTGTAGCATACACATGCATGATAGATGCACTCTGCAACAAAGCCATGTTCAACCAAGCGTATGATCTTGTGGAGAATATGGTGAAAAATAATTGTCCGCCAAGCACTGTTACTCTTAATGTCTTCATCAAAGGCTTGTGTGCCAAAGATAGAGTAGATTGGGCTTTGGATTTGCTTGGTGAAATGGGAAAACACGGATGCACGCCAGATGTCACCACGTACAACGAGATACTGAACGGTCTATTTAAAGTCAACGACATTCAACGTGCATTTGAGATCATTGGGGAAATGAAACAAAAGAATATTAAGTTTAATTTAGTGACGTTCAACACTATTATGCATGGCTTGTGCTCATGCGGTAGGCTTAATGGGGCTCGGAAGCTTTTGGGGAGAATGATGGTCGAGGGAATAAAGCCTGATGCTTTTACGTTAAATATATTATTGCATGCTTACTCTAAACACGGCTTGGTCGATTTTGCTAACGAGATTTTGAAATTAATGGGGAAGACGGGCCTGGGCCCGGATATGATTGCTTACACTAGTTTAATAAGCGGGCTTACTGAGAGAACTGACTTTGAGGGTGTGAGTTTTTATCTTGAGAGAATGATCAGTGAAGGGCTCTTGCCGAATATCTCGATGTGGGGCCTTTTAGTTCGGAGTTTGGTTAGTAGGTTTGGGACTTTTGGAGCAACAGAGCTTGTGAATAGTGTACTGTGTAATAAATCAGTTGGTTAAAGTTTGAGTTTGAACCTCCCGGTGGGGCCCAGAGAATGCGGCACAACAATTCAATGCGTGAAGAAATTTTTGTCGGGACTTTGTCGGCGAACCTTTTCTCAAGGCGATTCCATTCTGTAAGCTCTCTCTCGCTCTTTCTGTGCATGCGTATGATTCTTTTGATATTAGTTATTTGTGGCTAGTCAGTAGAATTGGTAAGCGATATAGCGTAAGGCTGAGTTCTATATGAATGCATATGAAGTTGAGAATTGCAAATCCATGATAAAAAAATATTTTCGAACTTGTCTGAGGCCTCTTAAGTTCTAATCTCGAGCTATTATTACACTACTCAAATGAAACACAAATGATGAAAATGAAAGTGAAGGTTGTTAATTTACTGATAGGCTCCTGCTGATGGTTTTCTTGCAGGTAAAGTGGTTTGGAAGATAGCCGTGGGATTTGGGAGAGTTCAATTCTCGAGCTGTCTAGCCATCATATCGTAAACCATAGGCAGAATGGAGGGAAAAATGACATATTTTTACATTTTTCAAACTTGTGAATTTCGAAATCTGCTAATCATATAAAAACAATATTGTTTTACATTTTGATAATCAATGTTTAAGCATGTATGGGAGTTTTGTAAATTTTCAGTGGATGAAATTTTCGAAAATTTGGATTCTAGCAAATCAAATATAAGCAACTGCCCGTGCATTGAGGATTGAGCTTTACAACAAAATTGGGGCGAAATGCTGTACAATCTCATATAAATCGGAACATTCAAAGGCAAACGATTTGAAGTTCTGGTCTCAGTATACAGTTAGTAGTAGTTAACTAGAGCCTTTAAGTTTATATTCTACCCATAAAACTACTTGGAACAAGATTTCTCCCCCATGTTGCTATAAAAGAGTTCACCACTGCTTCTTCCCCTTCTTCTTCCTCTTGCTACTGCCACTCCCGCTATTGCTACCGCCAGTCTTGGAGGGGCTCTCGCCATCAGTGAAGTTGTCAAACATGCCACTCTGGACTGCGTTTTGCAGCCACTCGCAGAATTCTTCCTCGGTCATTGTCTCAAAGTTGTTATGAGCTGGCATTCTCTGACCTGAACTTTGCCACGATGATGATCCTTTTGCATGGCTGTTGTTGTTCTTGGCCACAACACTCGTGTTCACTTGGAAACTTGGTTTGTGAGTGTTTGCGGGACACCTCATTCCCTATCGTACCGAGCACAGAAGATGAAAACACATTAATTGATAAATACACGAAATTTCAGGCGAAAATCACCAAGTTGAGAGAAAAAAAGAAAAGAAAAGAAAAAAAAA